ATGCAGCAACTGGGGAATAACTACAAAGTCAACTGTTGTCTCAACCTGGTTTGATATAAATAAAAAAATATACATTCTTTTGAGGATAAAAATATTTCCTTACAAAGCATAAAATTGAAAATAATAGAAAGAACAATTGGCACGTAAAAAATAAAGGAAGAAGCTAGAATTACCTGAAATATCAAGGCTGTGCTCTAAGAAAAATTGAAGAGAGCCCAGTGCTCAGAAACTGTGAAAACCAGGGTGCCCAGCATATGCTTTTTATGCGGAAAAAACTAAGATTCCTGGGTCGTCCAAGAACAAATGTAAGGTGCCAGGGGCCACCGGGCGCTGCTAGACCACATCCCTGAATATGCTCTTGAGCATGTCAATGGATTCATTTTGGCAAGAAAGATTTTATACTCGACATCATTTTGATTTTTTTTTTTTTTAACTGAAAATGTCTTATCACTGATAATTTGCTTCTTGTGGGAAATTTCCTTTCTCTCTCATAATTTTCCAGGGAAGTTCATCTTTTTGGCGTTTGTTGTCAGCCTCACCGTATCGTGTCTATATATCTGTTCCTCTTTCTTTTCTTTTGCTCTGCAGGACGCAGATTCTCGTGCAGAGCGTGAAAGAAAGAATCAAGCTATGGTAACACACCCGAGACAAGCTCCGTTGCCGCTGTGCTCAGTAATTGTGACACTGTACTACTGCTGTCGATATCACTATGGAGAACCTGAGGTACATAATATTATATATATGATTAAAATTAGGACGATAATATGATGTAAATATGTGTGTGATGATTTGATAATAATTTGTTATTGTTCTTTATACTTCAGAGTGTCTTCACCAGTCCTTTGGCTATTCGCGCTAGATTTCAGGTAAGTGGTAGACACAGCTATGGAAACTGAGCCACCCGAGTATAGATTTTTTTAGACATTAGAAAGATGCAGATAATTTTTTTTTTTTTTTTTTAATTTTGCTCCTCTAGTCATTAGTACCACATGCATTGAAGGCAGCCTTCGGTGTTGTGTCGTCTCAGCCTGCAGTTACCTCAAACAAGAAACATGATTGACATATGCTACCAGCGCAATGATGTAGTTATCCCGTTTAGGAAACTCTTCACGAGTGCGTCGTGAGCTTGCGTGAAGAATGTTCCCAGTGCGTGTAACTTCTACTTTTAGTATACACTGGGTGCTTGGATCACTTTGATTCTTTGTTTCAAGTCATTTGATGTAAAATTTCCTTATGAAATACCGTACAGAGACCAACTACCACACTCTTATAATTGTCATTAGCTATCCGATAAGCAGTATGAATGGACAGCGTTATCTTCCCGAGCTAAGATCAAACAATGGAAAGGACTGGAACAGATGTTTACAGCAAAAGTAAGTTTGCAAGACAGGGAAAGACTGAGAAGATTGATACGAACTAAAGAAAAACATCAAGAAAAATTTAGGCTCAGTGTTTTTATCATGCACAAATTTTGAGGTGTAGAGTTTTTACTAGCTGAGCTGGGAGGAGACTGGGGAACAGTGTATTCAATGGTGGGAAGTCTCTCTCCCTATCATAGTAGCTAGGGTGTGAATTTGATACTTGGCATAACTTTTGGGTCGAGTTTGTTGTCAGTCCCCGCCTTTGTACCAAGTGTTTTCTCCGACCTCTTCAGCTCCCTCCGTCTAGTGAAAAAACCAACACTTCAAATTCCAGTTGGTCCTGAATTTGTAGACCAAGAACTACTTTGCGAATGAGCCATTTCTTATTTCCCTTGCACACGTTTTTAGATAATAATAATTTGAATCTTGCGCTGGCGTCTGATCGGCCACCGAGGCTGAGCTGCATACAACAGACTTATACCAAGATATGCACAACTCGGCCCAAAGCCGCCTGCACTAGCAAATGGCTGATTTTTTGCTCACTCAAACTGTTGTTTTCATGGTTTTATATTTCAGGGATGGTTAGGTAAAGTTAAAATGAAATCAGCGATAGGATTCACTCAAGTTGTCGATTTACTTCATCAACACGGTGCCTCTGAACAGGTATGACAAATGAATAACGAAGTAACATTACGTCTTGTCAAGTAAATTACTGGTTAATTTAGTTTTATATAATGTTAAAAAGAGAGACCAAAAATTTTGGCCACTTTTTTAGGAACCCTCTAGATGGCCGGTCCAATATGGGAAACCCCTGGTATCTTGTCAGGCTTTGCTGAAATCACAGCTTGCAAGACTATGTTGCGAGAAACAAAATGAGAGTCAGAAAAACTTTCTTTAGTGTTCTCTTAATTGACCTGAAATACAGGGTCCTGGAAGACCTGAGAAAGACCTGGAATTTTATTTTGACATTTTCCAGGACTGGAAAGTCCTGGAAAAAGACTACAGGTCCTGGGAAATCCTGGAAATCTGCTTAACACAAGCAATAAAGTTTTCAGAATTCATGATATAAGGAATGTATGTAGACCATAAGGAAAATTGATTTTAAAATCTTGGAATCTGAGTCAAGGAAAAGTCCTTGAAATTTTTTTCTGTAAATGGGCACATCTCTGCAATTAGTGCTTGAACTAGGAGCTGTTGACTTGGGATCTGTACATGTAAGTTGCACTAACTTTCTTCCGGTCACACCTCCAACACTGTTAAAAAAAATAAAAAAAAAATAATGTTTATTTAACGTGAGTGTCGTGCAGAAACACTTAGCTGAAAGGTAGTTTACAGGTTTTCCACCAAACAACTGAAACGTAAAATTCAAATTGAAAACAACATTATTAAGAATCCCATCTGGCCAAAGGCAAACCAGTTGGCTATTTACAAGCATGGCCGAGGATTTGAACTCCGAGCTACCGTGAAACAAATCCAAGTAGTGGTCAGGGCGAGACTCGAATGCGGTAGCGGCGGATTGCGAGTCCGACACGCTGACCACTCGGCCACAAAACCTTCTGTGTTGATTAAAATGCCCTAATTACTCTCCTATCTTTTCTTTATTATAGGTGTTGAACACTTACCTAAAGTTAATTGACGACCTTAACCAACGGCTTTCATCGGCGACGAAAACAAAATGCCATAGTGCAGCTATTGAGGTAACGTTGTCTTCGAAATTAATCTTCAGCTTATCCCAGCTGAAAACTAGGTAGAATCCCCCATCCTCATTTTGATTAACTGGCAACAAATCCCGTTTGCTTCATTCAAGGTAGTAGTTACATTCTACAGTGTTGTATTCCCTGGCAACGTCTAGAAGTAGTGTTGATGTCACTCGCTTCAGTGCATAGACCACTTTCATAAATGGCTGCCGGATTAATATTCTTTTGTTTAAATTTAAATTAGCCCTACTGGCCTTGTTCTCCAGTACAAAATTCAAAAGAAAGCATTATCTCAAGTGAGGCCAGAAGGGCTAATTTAAATTTAAACAAAAGAATATTTATATGGCAGCCATTTATGAAAGTGGTCTATATTATACCCTGCCGAGGGCCTACACAATAGGCCATTTTACAGTTGTCTACTTAGTTGCCAAGCCTTTGATTTGGCGTGAGGCTGATAGTTAGCATAATAACAAAGTGATTTACATTTGAAAGGCAGCAAGGTTTGTATCATAACAAGGTCAACCTCAGCCTCACTCCCATTCAAAGGCTTGGCAACCAAGCACACAACTATAAAATGGACTATTGAGACAGTAATGCTTACTTTCTCTTATATTAAGTTTTAATTTTCACCTTTTTTCATCAGAGAGTTATTTAACGTTTTTCTCTCAAAGTTCTATTTGCCAAGAATCCCTTCCCTGTGTTTCTGCCACCTGATTCGCACAAGTACTCGTCCATAAATATAGAAAGATTTTTTTCGTCTAGTCATGAGCGTGAGACAAAGAAAAAATATTGAGTACCCATGAGGAATCAAACCTCAGACCTTCGGATTCTGCACACTTGTGCTCTACCGCTGAGCCACAGAAACTCTGTTGTGAGCAAGGCTCATTACAAAGTTCATATTTGACACGCCTCCTGCATACTGCTTGGATCGGCAATGTCTATAAATCACTCGTCTACAAATCACTTTTATGTGTCTTATTCCCCTTAGATCAATTTTACCGAGTCGACATCTGTTTTTATGTGGGTACATCCAACTGCGAAAGACCACAGCAGATACATCAAAAAGGTCGTCCGATAAGGGCGTGAGAATAAAAGCTTCTGGCTAAGCAGAAATTCATTGTTCTCCCCAAACCCAAAATATACCACAGTTCCCCTTGGTTGAGTTTCCTTATTACACAAAACACCTGGGATACTCATCGATCTTTTCAAGCTTCATTTTAAAACAGAATTTCGCTATTTAAACCTGGAGAAATCTCATTTCTGTAGAAGGGTGGATGAGAAGCTTCCCTCTTACTGCTTGCTTGCCTTTCTTGGCTGTGCTTTGTTAATGAAGATTCAAAAGTATGTACGTGTTACAGACCTTAGTTGCCATGAAGGATCGCCAACAGCTTGAAAAATACAGAAAACAGCTGAAAGGGACCGCGCGCGAGCAAGCCATAATCACAGAATACCTCAGCAACTCGGTGAGTCCAATCCATTCAGTGTATAACACCCAACTTTAGTGTCATTGATCAACTACCTTTTTAAATTTGAATTCTGATTCGTCAAATTCTCGTTAAGAATAACCCTTAGTGTTCTTTGCTTTTCCCAGAGTAATCAGTTTCTTCCTAGTGATTCCAGTGATTTTTTTGTTGCTTTTTTCTTTTATCATAATCGTTCAGAATTTCATTTCTAATATGTACATATATATAATATTTTTTCCATGACTTGTAAATTTCGTTTATTCATAATTATTTATAGTTCAATTCTGTGTGTGTGTGTGTGTGTGTGTGTGTGTGTGTGTGTGTTAATATTGTAATTCATTCTATGTAATTTGGCTTCCTAGCCTTGTTAACCTTCCAGTTATGTTAGGAAGCCAACACCCTCTTAGTTTTAATTTTCTTGTTTGATGTTAATTTAATTTTCAAGAATAAGGGTGAATAAAGTTGTTGTTGTTGTTGTTGTTGTTAGTGGTTAGAACTAATTTTTCATCACCAATTTATTTCCTTGTAGCAACTCCGATGGAAAAACTGAAGTTCAAGAAATCGATTCAGGAAAACTGATTGTTAATTTTTTTAAAATTTTTTTTAATTTAATTTTTTTTTAAACTTTTTCCAGGTATTCAGTGAGTAAAACGGTAAAATAGTAGCAGCTAGGGGGAATGAAAAAGCGAGGGAGGTCTGGGTCGGGTCGGGAACTCGATCCCACCTCCTTCGCTTTTCGCGCGGCTGCTTCTTTTTCGCCGTCTTACAAACTGAATGCCTGTGAAAAGCTATCTATATATGAGATTGATATCAAATATTAGAATCACATATGTGTAGAGAAGTCGTTGCTGGTTATGACCGTTCAACGGTAGCAACACGTCATGTTACAAATTAAAAAACTGGTCGTTTTTTTTGTTATAAATGGTTGTTGTTGCGCCTTTGTACAGACCCATAAGGCTCGATTTCTTCTTCCCATTCCCTTTGCTACTTAGCCTCCTGCTTCGCACGTCAGCTTTCGGAGAACCTGCACAAATCACAATTGAACTAACTCAGGGTTCAGTAAATGTTTTTATTTTTCGTATTTTGCCTCTGGTTTTGAGCACGGTAAGAGAGAAATAAGCAAAGACGCAAACAAAACAAAATAACGACGACATCAAAATGTCAGCCTTGATACACGCTTTTACGTAGGAATTAGAAAACATTTTTTCATCCAAAGCCGACTGAAGTAGACTGAAGACTAATGATGCGATAAAAAAAATATTGAATTTCTAAATCATCGGATAAGTAATCCTGCTCAAAACTTCCGGTCCATCCACGATCCTCCGTTTTCTCCAAATCCGAAAATTTAACTGGTCGGAAATCAATCACGGCGCCGATGCGTAAACCACTGCAACTTCAACTAAAGCTAACCACTTGGCGCTTCTAGCAACCGACTCCCTGAACTTTATAGAAATAGCAACCGTTACCCCCTACATCCTCAGCGTAAAATGGCACGCGGATTGTCCTGGAAATGAGATCCCTTAGCCCCAGGCTCCCAATGAGTCCCAGAGTACAAGATGGCCGATTACTCTTCAGAAAGAACCGCTCATGTAACTGCGACATTCCAAAAAAGACTCGCTTTAGGGACTGAAGAATCAGTGTTGAATTGATCAGGTATATCCTGAATTTTTTCCGGAAAAGGTAAACTATATCACGTTGACATATGCGTGGTTATCCGTCTTGAGGCGAGAAATTACATAACACGATTAATATTGGCTAGTTAGTTATCCTATGCAAGAACAAGAATTGTCCCCCTCAAAGAAAAGAAAAAAAAATGGGGGACAACGTAACTCCTAATGTACATATTACTAGAACTAAAGCATCGGGAAGTCTCGGGTACTGTCATATATACAGGAATTTCTCTTCCGTCAAACCTGGAGAAGACAAACTAATAGAGAGGTAGCTATATAAACGTATTTGGTGGAAATTGTTCGTCGAGCCCTCGTGTAAATTGTCAGTATATCATGTCCTCCTGAATCAGTTAATTTGTGTATGCACTCAGCATACTTAAAACAAAACAGTTACACTGTGAAGCGTGTTGTAGGGGACTAGTTCATGGTATATTTCTTTTTTAATTTACTTTAAGAAATAATTTCTAATCTCCCGTTTTTTCCAATTGTGCGATGGACTAGCATCCCATCCAGGGGGGAGTAGAAATACTCCTAGTCGCTTCATGCTACAGAAACCTGAGTTAAGCACCAGCCTAATGGGCCACTAGGCTCGTAAAACAGACTTTACTACGTTTTTTCCAATTGAGGTTTAGATGTAGTGAAATCTTAGGCATGCCAATGCTTTCACACAAGTGTATGCTAAATATTTTTCCTTACGAGAATCATACAGCAGTCAAAATTAAGTGGCAGTGTGACAAAAATTCACTTGCAAGTTCTGAACAGCAGAATGAATGAAGTCTTTATTTCACGCACATCATTTTGCCATCTCCACTGGCAAATAGCAAAAGCTAGATGAAGCGGGCGGAGAGGTAAGGTTACAGCAGTCATAACAGATAATATAATAATTGTAATGTAACTAACTAATAATAATTGTAAAGCAGTAAGTGGTTTGAACCCGGGGGTAACATGTGAAGGTGAAGTCTGATCGTCCGGGTGAGTGTAGTCCTGAGAAGGACTGTTGTCGGTGGTAGTCACTACCACCGACAACAGTCCTTCTCAGGACTACACCCACCCGGACGATCAGACTACACCTTCACAATAATTGTTAAGTAACTAAATAAACTGTCTGGATAAATAAAAATTACTTAAAAACAAGCTAAGGTTACAAAATATATAGTCTTACAGAATAATATAACAATCAAATTTACTCCTAATAGAACCTGTTGATTGTTAGTACGTTGATTCAAGGATACAGAATTTGCCATTTTTTGTAGAAAAATGGGCACTTCAACATAATCGTCCTCTGCTTCCATTATCGAGAGCAAAAAGTCATGAAAATTTTTCTTAAAAGCTCCTTTGGAGAGTTGACGAAATTCGTTAGGAATTGCGTTGCAAAGTTTAACTCCAAATCTAGAAAAAGAATCTTGATTTAGATTCAATCTTGAAGTTTGAACATAATAATTTCCAGACGAAGTTATTGTATATGGTGCTGAGAACAGTTCTTCATGCAAAAGCTGCTTGAGTTCTGCTGGTATGCTGTGATTTACTCTGGTGGCTGATAATTTAAGCAGAGTGTGTGGAGAGAAACTTGTAAGTGGACAAGCAGTGTTTTATGGACAAATTTTGTGTGCATTGTGTAAAAGTTTAAAAAAAAAAAAATAGGGGCAAAAATTTCCTATCCACTAGGACAGCAACAGCAAATCCTTTATTTTCCCAAAAAGAGATGTTACAGTACTTTGAAATAATTTGCAAAATTTCTTATTAGAAACAGGAAATTAGATTGAACATTTCTGGAACAAAGAGAGTAGAGGCACAGTGAGGTTATCAAGTTAGCCCTCAGAGGCAGTTTTTTTACTTTTTAGAGGAACAAGAGGTAAAGAAGCCAGATGCAATGGGTAATGTAGTATTACTACATAAGACAGAAGCTAGAATTTATATTTAAGATTCACTTCTTTGGCAAAAGAGAATGTCTTCAGGTCTTTCAAGTAATGGGGAATGTCTTGTGGGGTGGGGATTTACTTTTAGTGGCATACTCCTTTGTTTGTAAATTCAAGATACAGAAACTGGGATAAGGTGTAGCAAGCATGGGTCAGTCTTATACATGTGTTTTAAACTTGAAGTCTTGAATTTTGAGATACAGTTTCTCACACACGGCTGGTAGCCATGTCTAGCTGAGCGCCGCAACCTGACCTTTATGGCAAATTCAAAGCTAATACAAATAGCATACACTAAGATTGAAAATAGCAAAAAAAGTTCCAGGCTATTACATTAAACTNCCCATAGGTCACGTGACCTATACCCAGGCCCCAGCAGTGTGTGGGAAAAACATTTTTCACTTATTTCGTTCCACTCAGCCAGTGAAAAATTACTGGTATATATGTAGATGAATCATGAATATTATTTCAACTCTGTTTATGATTCATGAATCATGGAGCCAGCTAATAAGGGCAGGGATGTTAAATCTGGAAGTCCAAATGATTCCATATCCCACCCCTGATCAAGAAAGTAATGAGTGTACTTGCAGGTTATTCCAGTGCTTTGACTGACAAATTGTCACTTTCTCTGTTTACAGACAACGACATGAACTTGGTAGCTCATCCCTGCCGATTCTCAGTGCCCTCGACCCTACACAAATTTTCACGCACCAGGAGAGTGTTACCTACTGCTGTACTGAAGACGTTTATACCTTGTCAATACATTGTGACACAAAACAGCTCAAATTTCTTTTTCTATTCATCATTCAAATCTGTGCATAGCAGAGGTGTGAGAATGCAGCAACCGAATTGTTTGCTGACAGAGTATCACCAACAGTTGACAGGAATACCAGCTTTTTATTTGAGAGAAATGGAGTTGAATGAGAAGATTAAGGCCAAACGCACGGTTCAAGGTCAGTTAGAATTTTATCAGTCATGGAAAGATCAAGGATCTATAGTGAACAGAATAACAGCGCTTCATGTGATCGCTAATATTGTCAAGAAAAACCAGAAAGAAAGAAGAGTTTTGCAGGGCGAGAGAGACAAGGCATTGAATGGTACAAACAATGCATACAGTGAGATCCTAGATTTTCTTTCTGATCGGATTATTTCCTGTAAAGGTCAAGGTCTAGCGAATGTGATGTGGTCCTTGGGAGTAATTCAAGAAAAACACCACCGACTGGGTAAGGTTTGTGAGGAGGAAATTCTATCGCGCGATATAACTGCCTTTCACCGGGCTGAGGTTTGTTGTCAGATTCTGCCAGGATGTATTGGCTTGGAACTGAAACATTCGCTAGTTTTTAAACGAGTCGAGGAAGCCATTTTGGCTGGGAAAATCAAGTTGCATCTTTGTGAAAATCGCCATATCTGCGCGATATTGACTTGTTTTACCGAGGTTGGTGGCGGAAGTGTAAGTTTATTTGAAACTCTGGAGGCTAACATTGTGGAGAGAGATTTTGGCTTTTTGCTCATGGAACACCTTGATCAGATCTTGCACTGTTTTGCCATCAAAGGCATCTTCTCTGATCAGTTGTTCAGCCAAGCGGAAGGAGAAATTCTGCGACAGGGGTGCGGTAACTTTCGGATGATAGAACTTGTGACCATTCCGCGCGCGTTTGCAATCGCGGGTAAAGGAAGCGAGCAACTCTTTGCAGCTTTTGAGAAAGAAATCTGTCAAAAAGGAATCAAATATTTCCCATTATCTTGTCTATGTTGGATCGCTTGGTCTTTTGCCACAAGAGGGTTCACGCAAAGTGTGGTGTTTAAATATGCAAAGGACGCAATCTACCAACGAGGAGTGAAAAATCTCAAAAATAGTGGCCTGGCGCTATGTCTGTACTCTTATGTGTTGGCAGAAAGTCCTTCACGAATTTTTGTAAAGGAATTAGGAAAAGAACTTCTTTCAAGAGACCTGAGAATCTTCAAGGGTACCCAGCTATGTCAACTGACGTGGGCTTGTTCAAACGCCGAGTATTTAAACCCAGAATTGCTTCAACGTTTGGAAGAAGAGATTCTCCAGCGGGACTTGACACAAAAAGAGGAAATCATAATATCTGAAAGTTTAAGAAACGCTGATAAAGGAGACAAAAATCCGCCTCCATATTTGCGTGAACTGTGTATTTCATCAATATAGACACCTGTTTGTACGATCTCTTTTATTGCAGAAAAATCGTTTACCTTCTGTAAATTTTATTAAATGTGGAGTGAGAAAAAATATGAGTTTCTATCACATTGCCACACGAGGCGACCCAGAGCTGAGTGCCGAAAGAGATGGCGATTAGAAAGGGTTCCAGCACACCTGCGACATACGCAGACACGAGTTAGAGGTGAAAACGAAATGGGCGGCGCAAATTTGAAGCATTCTTTTTTTTTTTTTGCCAAACTTTCTTGGAAAAATAAGCTGAAAAATAGCGAAAGTTTCCCAAGCTCGTGACCGAATCGACTCGTCCATAGTCAGCTTTATGCTAAGGCTGGCATCACCATTTTCACTTAACATAACTTATTTATACCGTAACAGAGCGCGATTCGCTCATCTTACCCTTTGTAAACTCGTCAATAATTTTTTTACAACGTTCTTCCAAATCTTGTTTCCCTGCTTCATCCAGCAACGAAATCTGCTTGGACCTTCGTATTTTCCTTTTTCTCTTGCAAGTCTCCGCTTTCCTTTTTGCAATTCCAAGGTGAGATTTTTCAGACAGTCTCTCAATGGACGTTGGTTCTCTTTGCACTTGAATATTCTCGTTTACTTTTGGGAACTTGCAGGTTTTTCTTTTCTTTTCGACCAATGACCTTTCAGCAGCTGCTTGTATTCCTTGTCTCACTACTTTTTTGATCGGTAGAGTTGGTTTTTCCGCATTTGCTTTCACTACTGGCCTGGCCAGAGAACAGGCGTAAGCATAATCTACAGCAAACCTGTAATAAAAAGATACATCAATAACTGACTGGAAATATCATAAAAACATCACAACAGTTTAAGTTAACAACTGACGAAAGTTACGAAAATCATCATGGTCGGAGGACGGTCTTTGCATTACAGAAAATAAAGGACTTGAAAGCGCGCGAATATTTGAGTCAAACTTTGAGCGCTTTCCCAACCGATGATTGTACGTTTTGGCCTACAAAACAGGCACTTTTTAAATGAACTTTAAGAGAGCGGAGGCAAACTCGAGGATTATGCATGACATACTAGAGCAATCAAATTAGAACTTTTAGTTTTTTGCAAAGGGAGACAAGTTGTCGAATTTCAAGATGAAATTTAGACCTAAGTTCTTTTCGCCTCTGTACAGACAATCAACCGATATTTAACTTACAGCTTCTTTGCAAAGACTTGCTGTTCACAATCCTTGACTTCTTGCGCAACTCCATTGGATGACAAGGACGATTTAACGATGACGTTCCACATGTGAGAAATGCACTGCCTCACCTTTACAAATAAAAAGACGAGGCAAGGTGTTTAAATAATAGTCTCTTTCATAGCCACTATTTGGGTTCTGCATGCAACATGGTACCCACCCTTCTACCCACAACGTCCTTTTGAATTTTCGTGCCACCTCGGCAGGTGCGGCGAATTTTGCTCCTTCGGTTTGAAAACGAAAGCGTAATTTCTCCTGACCTGATTGCCTCCCTGTTTGATCCAAGGTGGAGAGAACTTAGTGAAATATGCATTTAAAAACATAATAAACGAGGACTAGTAGTTGTTCTTTCTCTTTCTCTTTCCTAATTCTAGTACCAAATTAGGATTCTTGCCTCAGAAAGTATTGGGAGTGAATTGAGAGGTTAGCTATTTTAACACCTGCGGGTGACTTTCAAAAGAGTCTTGCTGCTCGTTTCAAGCAAAAAGTGATGCATATTTGTACCGACCCAGCTAAAATTCGGATATAAAAGGGTGACGTAGGTGTTTGACGGTGATTTAGCGCGAGCGCCTTTTCTTGAGAGGGAAATTAAAACTGTAGAACACTATCTTAGGAAATCTATTGCTCCCTTGTTGTCACCTTTTTTTTTTACCAAAGTAAAGTTGGTTCCCGTGCTTGCGATGTCCATAATATGAAACATTATGGTGAGTTGAACTCAGTCACACCAGCACCTACCCTAACTGGTCTTGCGCCCCATTCCTGCATCTTCATTTCTGCCTCTTCCGGTGTTATGTTGCAATTACTAAAGAAGGCGATCAGAGTTTCTGTGACTAAACAGCTAAACGCGTTAGGTCTCCATCGCTTCTCAGCTTTGTCCTCACAACAGAAGCACTGTAATGCAACAAAGAGGAGATAAGCAGAGTGCGAGAAAGAGTGGTGCCTGTGCTAGAGAAGAAACTGTCTCTCTTGCTCTTGGTTGAATTTCACAAGCTGACATGTTGCATTAAATTTTGCTAACTACAGTATTTCGCATCATTTTTTTTGGTTTCGTGGCATTCCGTTACCACTTGTTGCGTTATGCTGACGGTTCAGTTGAAGTGCGTTACAATGGTGTGTGGAGTTGAGTTTGACTATCGCACCCAGTCGATTTCGTTATTTTGGATATTTCTGCGTCCATGAGATAAATCCGTTGTGAAGCATTTTTTACATCCCTGCTGCTTTACATTAAAACGAACTAACCTGCTGCACCAGTAGATAAAAGTATGGCCTCAGCCTGCTAAAGTTCACACGGGCAAAATTCACTTTCAAATTGTAGCCTGGAGGAATTTGAGCCAGCCTTAAATAAAGTATTTGTAATGCGTTCCAGTGAGATTTCCGGAGGAGTTTTAATCTTTTCTTCTCCACCTAGAAGAGAGGCAAAATGTTAAAACAAACAACAACAACAGCAACAACAACAAACAAACAACAACAACAACAACAAACAAACAACAACCGAAAAAAAGCGCTTGGGGTTGTGCAAAAAGCCCATTCTTCTCTGGGAACAAATTGGGTGTCAAAGTCTTAAAACTTTTCCTGGCTTTCAGAAAGTAAAAAAAAAAAAACGATCCCAGACAAGAGCCAGTGCTGAAAATTTCAAGTGATATCCTTTGAAAGACTACATTTTGAAATTGTTCATAATTACATGTAATTGTGCAGCCGAGAACATTGCTTAAAGCAACCACAAAAGCAATGTCTGAAAATTATAGCAATTTATGATTCAGTATTTTCAGTCAAAGGGTTCTTATCTACGAGCTGGTAAAAATCTTCCATTTATTTTAAAATCTGGTGTTTTTTTTCTTCTTATTATTTTTAACCTGCCCTACCTTGTTCCGTGGCTGGTGGTGAAACTGAAGTTTCTGACTCACTTTGTCATAATATGCTCCGTAACTTTGATAGCTTTGTTCAAGACTGCTTCTAAATCTCCATCTGCAACCTGTCAATGCAGTGAAGAGGCTAAACATAACATTAAAAGCAAATGTCCAAACACAAGACTTATTCCGATCTGCTTTCTGTTGACAGTGTGTGAAAGATCTCTTTTGGGGGTAGAACAGTGGGATAGCCAGGATATTTCAAAGGGGGGGATCACCATGTCAAACAGAGGGTCAAATTGTCTTGTCCACCTCCACATTGCATTTTTTTAATGAGACAAGACAAGGCGTACAAAGGGGGGTCATGGGGACCCCTGAACCCCCTCCCTACAGTTACACCCTTGCAGAAATTTCAAAGAAAATTCAGAGCAAGTTGACTACTCCTCATTCTTCTTTCAATGTTTGCTGCTCTGGCTTAGACTGAGCTGCCTCCACATACATTCACTGACACATGCACTTTGCATATTTCTTGTGACAAATATAAACCAACCTTTGCTTTGCCCCACATGGTGATATAAATAATCAAATCTGCAGCCCCCCTTCCTAATGACTTCTACTGTCCTGTCCAATACTTTTTCCATCCCATACATTGCCATGCTTTCATCATCATTAGATGTTGTTTTCTTTTCCCTTGCTGCATTCTTAGCTTGATCTCTAATGTCAGTGCCAAGACAGGGTTCCATCAAAGATTTACTGGAGGTAGAGACACTGGTAAATATTGGCTCAGTATCTTCTTGAACACTGTCTTGACACAAGTTTGAAGACTGCGTCGCATCAAAAGATTGCTCTTGAAATCTGCAACTGATCTCATTTTGGTCAAGAAGAGGGTCTAAATTTGGGAATGTGATTTCTGTAGATACTTCTGAATATGTGGTATTTAAAATAATATTTTCCTTTCCAGTATTTGCTTCATTTAAAAGCACATTGTGTTGTTGTTCCTCCAATATATGGATATGTTGGTTGGAGAACTGTTGATCTGAAGAACTGCACTGGTAAGGAAGTGACGAGGGAGAAAATGGAGGGAGAGGTGGTGGCAGTGGGTACTCTTCATCTGTAAAATAAAATTTAAATATGAACTGTATTTAAATTCATTTGATACATGAAAAATAAACATTGGAAAAGTACTCTTTCAAACATAAGCTGAGTACCCCTTGCCTCTTTGGACCTGCAGGTTGGGCTGTCATGTATGATATTTAACTAATTGACCCTTCAGACTAGGATCTAATTTCTCCTTACAATATCACCCCTGAATCACACATAAAGGTCAAGAGAATAAAGGAAACGATCACCAACCTAAGATACCTTGATTGTTAAACAAATTCTTCATGTTAACACCTTAGGAAATTTATAGAGAACAGTATGGAGAATATGCATACTGATATCAGGGCATGTTACCTGGCAAAGGTGGTGTCCAGTGTGACTTCTTGCATTTCTTCTTAAAGCGGCATCTTCCATATTTTAGAAATAACAAACAAATCTCATTTCCAGCAGAATCTAAGGGAATGGGTTCCCCTGATTTGGTAAATTTCACACTAGTCAGCTGTAAGCAAAATTAAAACAAGATTACATAAATATACCTTTTAATCAAATGAGGACAAGAAAAAACAAGGGCAGATTCTCTGTTACCCTTAATCACGAGTTTGATAGGGTTTCATTTACTGAATAACTTTTTACTTGTTGTATGAAAAGCCGCACGAACAAAATTCCGGCCCTCGTCTAAAAAAAATAAACTATTATGACCGATCTGTGCATCTCATGCATGTCAGTATGGCAAGTCCGAAATTTTTGTTTATTTTTTTTCACAAATCAAGAGAAACCTGGAAGTGTGAAATTTTAGCGCGATTACAGAAAACCTAGTATTATTGGTTTTGGTGCGATCGACGGATATTTGCTTTACACTAACCATGTACAGTTAGCCTAACTTCCTGCTTCTCTACGATGTTTCACAAACAACAAAAGTGTCAGGCGCGGTGAAGAAACTTTGTGTCACTTGACATGTTACCGTACCACTGACCAAGGAGGTTCTGGTTTTCAGTAACGAATTTGCTATCGAAGAATAGGGAAGTAAAGTGTCATCTCCTGTACTTTCATCGCTATTTTTTCTTTTTTGAATCTATTCGTAGAGTGGAGGTTTATTAAAGAAGCTGTTACAAATTGTTGGGTATAAATGTTTACATGTTCCGAGAGAGTGCGGGCGCGGATGTTTATCTTCGGTTCATCTCCGGATTTACTTCGGTAATATTCGTTGTTCGGTGTGCAGGAATTTGATAGGATGATGGTAGAGAGAAGATGTCATGTGATCTTCATTGAGGGCAATCTAAATGTCTTCCATTTTTGAGAGGGGATTATCATCAAGATAGCGGTTTTCTAAGACAAGGTTCGCCTTTGCCTTTGACCCAATCTGCGAAAGTAGGTACATCCATCTGCGTCTATTGTTAAAGAACTTCCATTACGCCAGTAGTGGAAATTAATGGAAGATCGAATGACTGTTTCTTTGGCGGGTTCGAGGAGCCTCTTGCACCGATCGATTGTCGCGTGCTAATGTAGTAATGGCGGCATTCATGGAGAAAAACTTGTAAGCTTCAAGTTGGACATGGAAAACGACAATGGGGGAAAAGTTCCGGTGTCTTCTCAGATCCCAGAGAATGATTCAGGAACAAAGTATACGATTCCGGGTATTTTGCACTTTATTCAACACGAATGGGCCAGATTTGAGATGGATCGAGCGCACTGGGATGTCGAGAAAGCAGAATTGCAGGTAAACTACAATCGACTTGCTAGTCCGTCTTCGGAACCTTTTAACAAAAATAGGTTCCTCGAACTTTCCTCTAGCCGTTCAAAGCGATCCTCGTTTCATCCTTGTGGCATTTCGGAGGAAAGAGTTGTGTAATTTTCGTTTGTAGTAAGGCAAGTTTAGAAAATGAGCTTCGATTCTCGCTTGTCGTGTCGGTGTTTTGATCCAATTTTCGGTTACTTCTGAAGCGTTCTTTCGTTATTTTCTCACCGAAAATGACTTCAACAAGCATCATTTCCATGTGCATTTTTCTTTGTATAGGATTTTGAGTATATAGTTTGTCTACAACCTACAATTTTTAGCAACTGATGTCTTTTCATCGCTCGATCGACGCCTGTAGGTGGAATCTTCAGATATTGGTCGACAGAGGAAATTTCGACAAAGTAGCAATTGACGCTACTTTCATTGGCTTTTAAACCCTTACCCATAGTGAAATAATCAAAATGTACTTTCAGAAGTTGTGGAATAATTTAAGGTTAATGATTATGAAAGCTTTTGTGTACATGTAAGTTGTATTTTGAAATTTGACTGTTTCTTGATGGTCTCGAATGCTCTTTCGATAATTGAATTTCCCTTAGGTTGTTCGTTATTTTAAAAAACAGATTGATCGTATTTCCTGGACTGAAATTTGCTTGGACGTGTTCAAAATCAGCTTGAAAGTCTTCTTTCTGTTCTTGCGAGGGTGGTTTATTTCAAGTTGATTAACATTTTACAAAGGATCAAACTCCGCATATGTGTGCTGTCGGTGAATATTTATTTGGAAAAATTATCGATCTTGTTTGAAATAAATTCTCAGTAGTCATGTAATTCTTATTTTGAAAATACTTCTCGTTTTAGGCATCACATTTTTGAAAAATTCAGACGTGACACAGGAAGACTTGTCTAAATTTTATTCAAATCTTATGCCCGACTGATATTTTAACGCGCTCCGATAAATAGCTCTTGTGATGCATATAGCTTTATCAATTTTGTTTACAAACAAGTGATCTAAAAACGCCTCAATTCACAACATAATCAGATACTAATAATCAATGATATTTTGCGCAATACTTTGAGTCAATTTGACTTTTATTGTAAAGTGGGATTATTAGTAATAACATCTAAATAAATTATTTAGCATCACCCATGGTTCAAGATCAAAGTTTCTTGAATCTCTGATTAAAGAAGACCTGTTGCTGTCCAACAAAAAAATTCTTTCCATTCCAAAATGCATTTACATTTAAAAAAATGGCTTATCTCATTTGAAAGTTTGACAGTTTCTTTATTTAAGCAAGATTAAAATGACAAGTATTTTAATCCTGGTTGTTTTTGTGGATTCATTATTGTTTGTATTTTTTTTTTTTTTTGCCTTTGTTTGTTTGAGTTTTTAATATCAATTTTATGTTTACTACTAGTGTTACCATGTTCAAGGATTTAATTTAAGCTTATTAATGACTAACTGATCTCAATGAAAATTGTTTACAATTTGTGTTTTTGAAAACTATTCCTGGTTCATTTTATCTTGTGCGTTTTGTTTTTGCATTTTTTTTGTTATGAAAAAAAGGTATGAAAAGTAAAAATCTAAAAAAAAACCTAAATGTTTTAAAGATAGAGATTTTATATGAATGGAGAAAATTTAGAGCACTTCTCAGGAGTTCTTTCAATTTAAAGATCTTAATCCTTTAATTCCTGCAATTGTTAAATGCACAACTTCTCTTATGGTGTAAGTGCATATTGAGTTTGTGTGAAGTTGAGGATAATGTACAAAATCATTAGCCAGAGTATTACTCTGAGGTCCATATAACCCAAAACTCTGACTTTATTGACAAGGAAGTAAAGACTCTGACAGCTTTAGCTTATTTGAAGAGGAATAACTTATTGTTGTGCAATGTTTTCGCAGGCTCGTATCGCATTTTTACAAGGAGAAAGAAAAGGACAAGAGAATCTTAAACATGATCTAATTAGGAGAATTAAAATGTTGGAATATGCTCTGAAACAAGAAAGGTAACAGTGTTTTTTTTTTATTCTCAGTTATGTGTATTTGAAACATATTTACCATTGTTGCCATCCATCCACCTATCTCTCTATCCATCCACCCACTCAGATTCCTAATCAATCTGTTCTTTTTTTTTTCCTTCCTTGCAGAGCAAAATATCACAGACTAAAATATGGAACAGAAGTGTCGCCAGAAAAGGTGTCCAAAGAAGAGGAAAATGCCAATCAGGAGGCTCACAGGGATGGTAGCACAAATAACACAAAACCAGTTGTAAATTGGCGACAGGGCCGACAGCTACTTAGACAGTAAGTTTTACTTTTGTTTTACTCTTTGATGCCTAAGATTGACTGGCATTTGATTTCTACTTACAGTATCACCTCTGAATCACACATTAATGTCAGGAGAATAAAAGAAATGAACACCAACTAAAGAAACTCTTGATTGTTAAACAAAGTCTCCTTGTCGGCACCTTAGGAAAAGTATAGAGAACAGTATGGAGAATATGCACACTGATGTTGGGGTGTAAATGGTGAAGATAGGAAAATGATTGCTGATGAGTTTCTGTGATGGAACATGTAACTGACACTCCGTCACAGTCTGAAATACGTAAGGCACTATAAGATCTGTACGGCACTCCGGAATAACGACTGAATGAAAATTACAACTACGATGTTATATAGTGCATAAAGGCTAAAACAATAGACTAAACAAGGCTACACAATACTCAAAGGCGATTACATGAAACAACGCTGACAAACTTAATTTACATTTTGACAGCATGAAAAAATACAAACTAATAAATACAGAACTGTACTATTGAGAAGAGAACTATTTACACTAATTACAATTAATAAAGACAAACGACAGAACTGATAAAAAAAATTAACTCTCGTGACTACAGGACATGATAAAGTTTTTGAGTACAAAATCAAATAACGAAACAAGAGCTGAAGCATTTTACTCCATTATGGATTAAATCGTGATTGTAAAACTTGTTCGCAAGTTTAAAATAGTCACAGAACAATCTTAGCCCTTTATACCACAACATCAGTATGTATGTTCTCTGTACTATTTTCTTGACATTTCCTGTGGCACTGACAAGGAAGATTTAGTTAAAAGGTAAGAACCTCTTCAGTTGGTGATCATTATATGATAATATTATATTGGATTTTAGTATAATTTCAGAGCTAAGCAAAGAGTTTCTAGCAATCTGATTGGTTGAGCAGTT